ACTCTTGGTGTTCACCAAAACTCACTCAGACGTGTAGTCTTATTGCATGTGTATATGCGAGTATATAAATCTACATACATAATTGAATAATCTCTCTCTCTCTCTCTCTCTCTCTCTCTCTCTCTCTCTCTCTCTCTCTCTCTCTCTCTCTCTCTCTTATTCTTTGTGCTAAAACATGCCCGAACACGTGATTGGAAAAACACGAAACTAATCGATTACTTTTTTTTTTTTTTTTTTGCCAAGCGAACATACATATGCCATGATAAGCATACATGCATGTTGCATACTTAAAACATACACACGAATAAAAAAGAGTGCGATTCTTATGCGCCTACTCTTGTTTGAGTCAAAACGGACACACATAAGTTAACGTACTTTTTTATGTTTATATACTTGCAAATTGTACGAAGCCAAACATACAAAATTATCCATACTTGTAGATATTGAGATAAAACATTTATCAACAGTTATATACATATAATGGTGTGGTAATACATTTTCTCATGTCATTTTCCTTTATCATATAAAATTGTAATAGAGGAAATTATACTCCTTACCAGCTTTTGGAAGAGACATGACAAAAAAGTAGTAAGAGCACCAAAATAGATTTACCTTTGCGCAAACGTATTATGATAAGAGGTTGAATGTTTAGAGGTTTAATTGAGTTCGAATGTCAATCACCATATTAACACAATACTGAATTTTAAAAAAATATTGATGTTTATTCTTATAGATATTATTTATATTGAATGTAAAAAAAAAAAAAATGAATCACATGTTTTCAATTTTTCATATTTGTATACACGAGATTCAAATCTATGAGTCGGTAAGTAAGGGAAAAAAAAAATCTTCAGAATTTGTGTTGTTTTTTTTGTTTTTAGGCTTCATCAGAGGTTGACGCTTGTAATGAAACAAAGTTCATACTAAGCCCTTTTGCTTCAGGTGATGGTTTTGACTTGAGTTATTAAACCCTTATTTTCTTGTTGTTTTTTAATGATATGAGGGATGCAAGCTCAAATTTTAAATTTAGTTTTTTTTTTAATAATAAATAAATAATGTACGTGCTGATATATATAATATAATTATTATATTTTATTTATTGCTTTTTTTTTTAATATGGAGTGTTATGAAGATTTTATTAATCATTTTATGTATTTTTAAAAATAAGTTATGAATCCTTATAATGCATTAAAAATGAAGATAATTTTTTTTTTTGCATAATTGTTTCTTTCCTGAAGGAGCGTCGAAAAATTTTAAAACTTCATATTTTGATAAATTTTAAAAACGTAATATTTAATAAAAAAAGTTAAAAAAAAAAAAAATTGTGAGATATTAAAAAAAAGGCGTTTTTATTTTCAAAGTTGTAATTATGTAATAATAAAACAATCAATTATCAAATAATGAATTAATAAATTGATTACCAACTAATAAATCACGGTTTTATCTCTTATTAACAGATTATTATAAATTTTCCTATTGGTTTGTTCAGTACACAAATTGTTGCACGCTTCAACATAACGAAGGAGAAGGAATCACCAAATTGAGGGAAAAAATGATGGAAAGCAACGCAAGGCTGAAAACAACAATCTAATTCTAATTCATCGTACTAACGACCCAACACATAGATACATCATCATACATAGCGAGAGGCAAGAAAAACAAATTCCTCCTCCCTGCACATAGACTTAGGAAACCACGGATGGATAAGTTGAATGATATAGATGAATGTTGGAGAAGAAGAAAAAAACGGTGAAAAAAAAAAAGAGCGTGCAACTCAATGTATCAGTCGAATAGTAATAGCCCCTCTTCGATAATCTCACAAATTGTCACAAGTCCACAATTCAATATGATTATGGGAGCCGTAGACAACAAAATAGCAACCAAGTTTTTAATCCCTCTCTCACTCTCTTAGATAAAAGTAGGAAGAGAGGAGATGGATATAAAGGGTGGAAGGGATGAGGAGGAAGAAGACGAAGAATAAGAAAATATATATATATATATATATATATATATATTATATATATATGTTTGATGTCACTCATGCATTAATCAGCGAGAGATGAAGTCTTGCGCCAGTGCAGGTCACAGCTAAAGACCGGGCTCATGTTATGACGAAGACCCGAGCTATAGCTTCCAGGTGAGTAACTCTGATGATGTACTGCTTTTGAAGAACTCTCTCTTGCTACCTCCTACTTTAGTAACACTACCCTAAACTCTCACTAACGATGTTGCTCTCCAACAGTATGTCGTTGAACTGCTCTCTATTTCTGATCCCAAAACCGAAGATTGAGCGAACTAAATACCGTTAGGCCGATAGGGAATCCTTATGGTTAGGAGTCAAGATCATCCACTCGATGTGCTGATCGACGGTCCAAAGGGTAGGCTGTGGCCTTGGTGCATCATATTGCCATCATGATTTGTCCCAACGACAAAGACCAGTGAATATAAGTACAAGGACATTTGATAAAGTTGAATGAGCAGCCAAAGGGGCATACTGAAAAGATGTCGGGTCTAATTGACGCAATGGATACTTGATAGATTTGGTCCATCATCAAAAGAGCATTCTCGGAATTTCGTGTCCTTGAGTAGCAAAGCAGGAAATATTGCAACGTTCAGGGGGAAAATGCAAATCACCCCCCTTTGTAAGTCAATTGTGGTTGCTGGCTCACTTATCTTTCACAGGTCTGGTACCAGACCTACCGCTGGGCGGGATGACCCCCCCAGCCAGCAGCAGTTGGTTCACAAGAGGTGCATGCGACTTTTGCCAGCTTACAATAGGGCCACAAGAATGGGAACTACCCAACACTGAATAGGGGGGGGGGGGGGGGGGAGATAGGGGAGCAAAATTGCTAAAGGGCCATATTGGTGTGCAATCTTTGTGGCTGTACGGCCGGTGCACAAACTTGCACTGTGCTCTTAGGCCTCCAACGGTCGGGTCTTCAAAGTTGCATGTGCCGTTCGCCCCAAGGACAAAAAACAAGGAATAACAAGGACATTCGACAAAGTCGAACGAGCAGCCAAAGGAGCATAATACCGAAAAGATGTCGGCTCAAATTGTCACAATGGATATCCGATAGGTTTGGGTTATTGTCGGAACAGCGTTCCAAGGAATTTGTCTTTGAGCGCCAATCAGAGAATACTGCAACTTGGACGGGCAAAATTGCAGATTTTCTTTTTTTTTGACCTCAAATTTGCAACAAGTTATTTGTTGGTGTTGGCTCACTTATCTTTTCCCAGGTTTGGTACCAGACCTACCGCTTGGCTGGATGAACCCCCGCAGCCAGCAGCAGGTTGGTTCACATAAGGTGCATGTGACTTTTTCCAGCTTACAATGGGGCCACCATAAGGGGAACAACCCGATGATAAGTAAGGAAAAAAGCCAACAAGAAAGAAATTCCACTCAAATAGAACAATTTTGTTCATTGGCTTGAAAAAGGTAGCAAGTAGCCGAAAGCAAGACCAAATGGAAAAAAACCACAAGACCAAATGGGAAAAAAAAGCAAGACCAAATTTAGCAAATGACATGAACAAGCGAACTTCCTCGACAAATGGGTATTTTGAACTATTTTCTTTGATCAGCATCGAAGAGAAGACAAAATCTGGTTATGTGCTGGGAAGGGAGTGATGCAAGCCAACTAATGAACGCGTCCGTGCCGACAATGAGCAGGGAAAGGAAGTCATTGTTTACACCCCGAAAGCTGTTGGAGGATCCCAAAAGGATGTCAATTATCCCCCCCCCCCCCCAGCTCCATCTATTCTGGGGGGCGGCAATTCTGTCCCTTATGGCTGGCAAGTGTATGCGAAGGGTGTCTTTCATGGGTCATTTCTTTGCAACTTCCTCGGTCCCGCCCCTGGGTCTGTCATTTGACACGTGGCATCCAATTTTTGGCTATTGTCCAGTCTGCAACAGCAGATAAGTGGAGCTGCTGGTAGTACTCCAGAAAATCGCTTATGTGGAGTCGCTTATGTGGAGGATTGCCAGACTGCCAAGGCCTCCTTTTTTTTATCCCCCCAAAATGTTTTTTTTTTTTCATAAAGGGGTTAGCCCCTCCCCCGTATATTTCTTTCCCCAAGGGCGGTAAGCCCCTCCTATAATTTATCCATTTGTTTGAAAAAACTCCGCAATCAACAGTTACATGTGTCCCAAAAAAAAAAAAAAAGTTACATGTGTCCTACAACAGGCAGGTACTTCCCCTAACGCATTGAGCGTCGCCACACTCTCGAAAAAGACAAAAATGTGGCGGGCGCATCTGACCATGTTCTAGGGAGAAGTTCATTCTCATTTGGCACATTTCGAGAATGGTGTAGCGATGCCCATTATCATTTGTGTGCATACGGATTCGAGCACATGCCCAATTCGACACGTGTGCACCTTTTTTTGTTCTCTTCCCTTTGTGCACAATTCAGGTAAAGCTTGTATGCATTCATTTGACAGGTAATTGAATCGGTTGGGCTTAAACAATTAGCCTTTTTTTTCATTTCATTACATTGCGTTATGTTCGGGGGCGAACACGGGAGCGAGATGTTCGGGGGCGAACACGGGAGCGAGATGACTTTCGTCGTCTACGGCGGTACTTTGTTTTTTTTTTTTTTTTTTTCATTTCATTACATTGCTTGGCGGTACTTCCTACTCTCCAGCAAAGCACCCGCCAAAATTTTGAGCCGCCGGCCCGCCGGTAGGTCGCGGAACAAACAGACTCGCGCTCATTGCTCTCCCCAGCCATCGTCCCCGTCCCCATCCCCGTCCCCGTACCTGTCTCTTATACACATCTAGATGTGTATAAGAGACAGCCCCAGCCCTGCGCCCTCGTTCGATTTGGACTCCCACCCCTCGCGCCCTCGTTCGATCGGTCTCCCCGCCCCTCGCTCCCTCGAGTTTTGCGTTCGGCCCGCCCTTACGTGGATTTGCACCCAGACGCGGATTCGCGCGCCCAGAAGCCCAGACGTGGCTTCGCGACTCTGGCGGATGCCGTCGCGGCGAGTGGGCGGGAACGCGGTACCGACGGACTCCAGCGGCGTTGTCGGGGGCTACTGGAGAGTGCTGGAACGAGAGAGAGAGAGAGAGAGAGAGAGAGAGGCGCTCCGCTGTATCCAACGTCAGCTTCGTCTCCCTCTTCGTTCCATTTGCCTGCGATCAACGAGCTCTCTCTAATCATCTCTACTCGCTCTGCGTCTCTCTCTCTCTCTCTCTCTCTCTCTCTCTCTCTCTCTCTCTCTCTCTCTCGTACGCTTGCTCTCTTTTCTGTGCTTTCTTTTCCTTCCTCGCACTCTTCTTCTCTTTCGTCGACTCTCTCTCTCTCTCTCTCTCTCTCTCTCTCTCTCACTCTCTCTCACTCGGTGTATCTCTGTGTGCTTTCTCTCAGTCTCCTTTTGCCTTTCTCTACCTCATCGCTGCGCGCCGTTCCTTTGCTGCTACTGGCAGCTCGGCTGTCGACATCGACGTAATCGCACCTTCGCTCTGCTGTGCCGTGCTGTGGTCGGCCGCAGATCTTTACCATCCAAGGGCGTTCACCTGACTTTCCCTGTACACGTGGCGTGTTGCTACATGTCGTGTCGTTTCTTCCCCTCTGTCATCTTCCTCCGACCCTTCTCATCCGTCTCTTCACCCCCGCCTCTCCTCTCCTCTTGTAGAAACACTTCTGTTTGATCTCGCGAGCGAGTATGGTTTCGTGCGTCTCTCCGTTTGTAATTTTCTTGATTGGACACGTGGCGCAGTGACGGCCATCCGTTTGGCGTCTCATGGTGCACCAGCATACTGCGCCAGCGGAGAAGAGCTGTCTCTTTCCGTCCGTCGCCGCCCCTCCTTCCCTCTCTTGTCCAAGCAGCTAAGCAATCGGTGGGACCTGATTCTTCTCGGAAGATTCAGTGAACTTGCCGATGGCCAGTTGATTGATACCAATTGATCGATCAATCAAGCAATCGAAGAGTCAGAAGGGTGAGGAGATTAATCACACGATCCATCAATCAGCGAGTCGGAGGGAAGATCGTGGCGGGCCCTGAGGACCGACAACGGGCGGGGGCTGTTGTCAGAATCGCTGTGGACAAGACGGAGGGAAGGCCACGGGAGGGAAGGGGAGGGGAGGAGGGGGGGCGGGAAAAGGGGGGGGGGGGGGTGGGGGAAGGCAGGGGGGGGGGGGGGGTGTTATCAAATTGTGGTGCGGCCCTTCAGGTCCTGGTATGGTGGATGAGAAGCGAGGCCCCGTTGCCGTCATTTCCATGGCGCCTAGGCTTGCGGGAGAGAGGGAACAGCTGCTCGGTCCTCGCGGTGACATGGAGGCTCAAATGAAGATCAATCACCAATCTCCCTCGGCCTACAACAGCGGGAGGGAGGTAGGTGTCGAATTCTTCGCGCTCACCCTTCGTTACTACACCTTTGCCCACAGACACACCTACCTATTACTAGTATTTTTACCCAATCACACTAATTTTTGTCTTTGCGGTTTAGCGAAGGTATCGATCGGTATTGTGTATGCCCACGCTGCATTTGCTTCTTCTGATTCTCTCTCTCCTTTTCCTACTTCTCTGCCTTCTCATTGCCCCCATCTCTCCTGATCTTTCTCTTTCTCTCCCTCTCGCTCTCCTCCCTGCCTCCCTCCGTCTCTTCGCTCTGTGTGTATCTTTGCTTTGTCCCATCCTAGGCTTCTCTTACTTTCCAACTCTCCCTCTTTCTGTCTCTCCCTCTGCTTTCCCTCCTCTGGTCTCTCCTTCGTTGCTCTCTCCTTCTCTGCTCTCTCCTTCTCTGCTTTCTCTTCCTCTGCTCTCTCCTTCTCTGCTTTCTCCTCCTCTGCTCTCGATTTCTCTGGTTTCTCCTCCTCTGCTCTCGATTTCACTGGTTTCTCCTCCTCTGCTCTCGATTTCTCTGGTTTCTACTTTTCTTTCTCCTCTGCTTTGAACCTTCTCTCCTTTACACTCTTCTTTGTTATCCTCCTCTGTGGTGTTCTGGCACTCTGTTTTTTTTCCTCTGCTTTTTCTTCCCCCTCTGCTTACTCTGTTTTTTTTTTTTTTCCCCTTCTCCTTCCCTCTCTGCTTCCTAGGTTGCTTTCTCCTCTCTTCTCTCCTTTACTGCTTTCTACTTCCCTTCTTTCCACTTCTCTGCTGCCTCCTCCGCTGCCTTTTCCTTGTCTGCTTTCTCTTTCTCTACTTCTCTTCTGCCTTTTCCTCCTCTTTCTCTTATGGTCTTTTCTGTTCCACTGTTTCGTTGCTGTTATCCACCCCTTTTCGTCCTGTCTCTCTCTTTGTCTGTCTCTGCGTCTCTCCGTGCAATCTCTGTGCCCTTGTTCTTTTGTCTACCTGTCTTTCTCTATTTCTGTCTGTTTGTTTTCCTTATTCTCTCTGTTTTCCTCTCTTTTTTTTCCGCTTGCTTTCATCTCTCCCTGTGCTACCTGTGCTTCCCTCTCTTTTTTCATCTCTCCTCTCTCTCTCTCTCTCTCTCTCCCCTTCGTCTCCACCTTCTCGCTTTCTTTCTCCCTCTCTCTTGCTCTTGCTCTGCCTCTTTCCTTTCGGTCTTCCCGTCTTTCTTGCCCTTTTTCTTTCTGTTTCGTTTTTCGTCCTGTCTACTTCTCCTCCCTATTTCCATCCCCATCCTCGTTCTCTTTTCTCCCTCTCTCCCTCTCTCCCTCTCTCCCTCTCTCCCTCTCTCCCTGTGTTCCTCTGTCCTTCTGTCTCTCTCTCCCTCTCTCTCTCCTTCTTTTCGACGCCCGCTACTTGTATTATCACATCATTGACAGCCGTGAAGGACCAGATTAGCACACTGATGACGATTCCTTTTTTTTTTTTTTTTTTTTTTTACTGATGACGATTCCTGTCATCACTATCATGTGACGTTGGTGATGGCTAACCAGCACGGCCGCCACCACGCTTAGCGGCAATTTTTACTGTAGATTATTTTTCTAAATAATTGTTTTTGTAAAACAATTACTATTTTTTTTGCGAACTTATTATTGCTTTTTGTAGATTGTTGTACTATTGTTATAGCCTGCACGTGACGTCACGTGACGTCAGATGGCTCGAGCGGCAGCCTGGCAGGCGGGTGGTCCTGCCCGTCTTTTCGTGATTATGCACGCACCGTGATTATGAATGCATACAACCCGTGTTTCCGGTACGATGCAGTCATGATGAGGGTGCGTTGTGTTCGGAGGAAGACGGGAAGACGCAACTGTTTGCTGGTGGGAGGTACGAAATCTGCCTTAAGAGAGCGATTTTTTTTTTTTTTTTTTTTTTAATAAATGGACCGGTTAATCGTTGTGGTGTATTATATAACCTATGGACGGGCCGTTCCCTTATCGAGTTCAACGACCGGTCTGATCCCCAGTTCTCCGCTCTGGCTACCGGTAGGATCCCAGCGACGAGTGCCTGGTCCTTAGGTTTGTCATGCCTGCGTTATTCCAACCCAACATCAATCCACTGATGTACGGTGGATATTTTTAGAAAGTATTTTGTTTTACTATTTAATTATATTTTTTTTACTATTAATTATACAAAAAGAAGTACATTTTGCCTGTTGATTGAGAGTAATACTCTACATAGAGCATTTATCGCCGGGGGGGTAATAGTAGTAGACCTTGGAGGTAATATGCCAATAGACCTTTATTACTAACGGTAGTATTTACTCTTCGCGCCTTTTTTTGGCTAAAAGGTATGACAGTGCGGCTACTAGCATAGCACTTTTTGGCCATGTGACACCGGCATTTGGCTATGTGACATAGCATGTAGCACAGTTTGGCTATGTGACAGTCACGTCTTTTGGCTATGTGACATAGCACAGTTTGTACATATGACTATTTGGCTATCGCCGACTCTTTTCTGGCTATGATGTATGACAGTGTGGCTATGTGACATAGCACAGTTTGCTCATGTGAGACCGGCATTTGGCTATTTGGTTGGATGGTGTTTAAACGTGCTGTGTCTCCCCCCTGTGCAGAGAGCCAGGGAGATAGATATTCTCCTCAGAGACACGGGGAAGGATGCTGTGTAATTCGCTTTTTTTTTTATGTTCTCCTTACTCTTCTTTTTTTTTTACGGGGAGGGATGCTCTATGTTATTCGATTTTTTAAATTTGTTATTATTATTTTTCAACTACGCGTTTTTCTTCTCTCAAAATCTTTCATCATCTTTCCAATTCTTTCAATTCGCCTGCCTGTCACCACCTACCTACCACAACTCCTAAGGCTTATTCAGGGGACTCCCTGCGAACGTAGTGTTGTTGTCTCCCTAAAAACAGCTATCAGAGGGGATGCATATTGCCCCCCCCCCCCCCCCCCCCCTTTTATAATGGTGGTCAAGAGATGGGGGGGTTGGGGCCGCGGGTGGGGGGGTCCGGCTAACGCAAAGACCGAGCATTTTTATTTCAGTAGCTGCGCCTCCCTTTTCATCGTCCCCCCCTGAAGTCCGCGTTTTCTTTTTTTTCTTTTTTTTTTTCAATTCTGCGTTTTTTTTTTCTTTTTCTTTGTTAATCTTCCTAGATTTCATCAAAAAAATAAACAAACAATTAAAATCTCTGTGGGCGTCCTTATCGTGAATCCAATCGAGCTGGTGGGTGTAATATAGTTATTAATTTTTTTCCTTCTTTTTTTTTTTGCGTAGGGGTCATGCTAATCTTCTCTGTATCGTTCCAATTTTTACGGATGTCCCAAAAGAACATTTAAACAATGACACGTGGACTAATCGTACGAGGGCCACATGAATCAGTTCGACCACGTCAGCGACGGCGGAATGCTCAGTTGCCGGATGGAGGAGGGGAAGCTTTACCACTTTCCTTCTTGGATTTATTTATTATTTATTTATTTTTTTAAGTAAATACGGATTCTTCTGAATATGATTTCGAAGGTATGACAGAGCAGCATATAGCAGAGAGTTGTAGCAAAGGGGGATGAATCTTTCATGTAATTAATGATTTGAAAGGTACCGAAACTGCAGAGATAGAACTGCGAATGTTCAGTTGACAGATCGGACTCGGGTTGTCTTATCTTGCCTATATAATTAACTAAGCGGGTACCAAAAACTGCACAGATAAAACTGCGAAAGCCAAAAAAAAAAATTGACAGATAGGAGTCCTCTGCGGGTAGTCTGATGTCTAACGGACGGAGCTTAGCGCCGCCACGTGGATGGTGTCCAATTAGTTACTACGATACTTGTATACGTTGATTGATTGAGTCCTTTTTTTATTTTTGTTCTTTCTGTTTTTTTTTGTTCTTTTTGTTTTTTTTCGTGGGGTTAAAATTTCCTGTAGTAAGTCGATGCTCGTGTACGTTGATGGATTGATTGATTGTACTCTTTGAGTTGAAATTACCTGTAGTAAATTCTTATTTCCGAGTAATTCCAAGAAAAATGAAAACTCTCTTAGGGGCATTGCCATTCGATTATATCCAGCAAAATATCCAGCCAAAAAAAAAAAAGGAAAAAAAAAAGATTGTCAAGAAACGTTTTCCTTTTTATGTCCAACACGGGGATGATTTCTCTCAGCACAAATAATTTTTATTAAGTCCCGCGGTTTGCATCTGAAAGTCGGATGCAAATAGCATTTTTTTTCAAATTGCGAAATTCTTTCTGCTGAGTTGTCAATCAATGGGTTAGAAGTATGAGATGAGCTGGCATTTTTTTATTTTATTTCATTTTGTTTTACCTATTTTTATTTTTTATATTTCATTGACCCATGTCTTTGTCTAAGTTATAATGGCCCAGTCATTCTGGGTGGGTGGTTTGTTGAGGAATTTCTGGCCTCACCCCATCTATCTTGGTAATAAATTGATTGGTCTTTTTTTTTTTTGTTTCCAAGTTAATTTGTATGAATGATTACCTGTTCTGAATCTGGACGTGTTTGTGGAGAGGTGCCGAAAATCGGTATACATCTGCTTTTCTGCATCTGTGCATTAAACGCATCCAGATTCAGGCGCTTCATCCAATCTTCTCTGCTAGTGGGGCCTCGCCCTTAGATTCCACTCATGAAATCTTGACAACTGGAACTTTGTAAGAAGACTCCGGGCTAGTCAGCAAATCACCGCGCTCGACCGAATTCTACCCCCCTCTCCCCCTCCCCCCCCTTCCCCCCCCCTTTTCCCCTCCCCTTCTTCTGGCGAGGGACTGCGCTGGATTTCCTAGTCCAGGCTGATTTTTTGTAAATTTGCAGCTTTTTTTTCTCTCTCACGGTATCGCCTTCGATAATGACGACGACGACGATGCTGACGTGTACTCATCGTACGTCTTTCACGTGGATGGGTTGATGCATGTTCGAAAGGTAAAGCGTAGGATGAAGCCGTTGCAAAGAAGAAGCCGGATTGCTTTCTTTTTTTCTCTCTTTTTTCTTTTCTTTTTCTTTTCTCTTTATTTTTCTCTTTATTTCTCTTTTTATTTCGTTTTTATTTTTCTCTTTATTTTTTATTTTTTTAAAATTTTCTGTATTTTTCCTTTTAGGTTTTTTTTTTAGTTTTTCATTTTTTTCATACGTTGCGAGTGTTGTCAAGGTGGATTGCTTTGAAAGAGGGCGGGCGGTCGACCACACTCTACTCTCTTTTTTTTTTTTAAATTTTCGTTTCCTTTTTTTAATTCTCTTTTTTTTTCCTCTTTATTTTCTCTTTTAGTTTTCTCTTTTTTCTTGTTTTTCATTTTTTCATACGTTGCGAGTGTTGTCAAGGTGAATCGCTTTGAAACAGGGCGGGCGGTCGACTGCGTGCACTCTACTTTACCGTCCTTTTTTTCTTCAACATGTCTCGTTTGCTATTTTTCTGGTCTTCGTCCTTTTTATTTTTTTCCTTTTCTTTTCTCCTGTGCACGCTTTTTATGAGTCTGTCGTTTCCCTCGTTCCCTCGTTCGCTCGGTTCTCTTGTCGTCTCTCTCTTCTCCTCCTCTTCTCCTTCCCTGTCCTCTCTTCTCCTATAGAGTATACGCACACCAGCCATCAGGATCGCAGAATCGCAAAATGAGCGGTCAGATTGAGACCTCTCCTTTTTAGAGTCTGGCCGACCGTCTCCTCTTTTCGCCTTCTTTTATTTTTTTTATTATAACTAATAAGTTATATTCTCCTCTTAATTTCACCTTTCACTATCTACCTGCGTCCCCCCCTTAATTACATACACCTTCTCTTCTAGTGTCAGCTTTTTTTTTGTTTTTTACCTTTTTTTGTTTTTTTTAAAAATGGGTTTTTATTATTTAATGAATTTATCTTCTGCACCATTTTCTGTATTTTCTTTTTCCCTTCCGTAGGGAGATCTCGAACACTCGGCCTTTACTTGTCGTCATCTCTCTGCCTGCCTGTTCCTTCTCGTTTGTAGAAGGCATTTTTTTGTTTATCTTTTTTGTTGTTTTGTCGTCATCTCTCTGCCTGCCTGTTCCTGCTCGTTTGTAGAAGGCATTTTTTTTTGTTTTTGTTATTGTTTTCTTTTCTTTTTTTTGGGGTTTTGCCCCCCACATTTCCACCCTGTCTAATCGTCTTCTCAGGATCGAGCTGTTACATGGATGGATGCAATTTGTTCCGCGCGGATTAAGGGCCTCGCCACACTACTCACGAAAAAAGAAAAATGCGCGTGCATCTTCCCAAAAAAGTGGAAAGATTCGTCAGTTCCTATGAGTAGTAACGGATGTATCTTGCCACCTTCTGCGAGAAGATGCACTTGCAGTTTTTCCGTTTCGCGAGTGGTGTGCCGAGGGGGCTAAACCTCTTTTACATCTCCGCACAAAATAGAAAGCTTTTTTTTTTTTTTGCTTTTTGTGTTCTTATGTACGGTATGTAAATATACATACGCACAGGTCTGCAAAGTCTGAAACCGTTTGCCGGCCTCTTCTCGCATAATCTTTTGGTCACATGTTTCCTATAAGTGACCTTTTTTTTCCCCCTCCTTTTGCTGAATGTAGATGTCACGGATAGATAAGACGGAAATCGTATCTGTATCTTCTGGTCACCGTTCGAAACGTGCGACGAAGATGAATCGTAGAATAAAAGATAAAGAAACGGATTCTGTGTAGATAGGTGTGCATAAATAGATAGAAAGGTAGAAAGGTAGAAAGGAAAAATATAAAGAAACGGATTCTGTGTACATATTAAGTCTTCGGTGCTATTGTTTTTGTCTTTTGCAACTCTTTGCCTCTCTCTCCTTGTTTCTTTCCCTCTCCGTCCTCCTTCCCCCTCCCTCGCTCCTAGATAGATTTTAGTTATAGATAGATAGGTCGATGTATCTAGATATATGGATAGATAGTTTGATCTATCTATCTATCTATCTATCTATCTATCTATCTATCTATGGATAGATAGATTGATAGATCGATGTAGATAGATATATGGATAGATAGATAGATAGATAGATAGATAG